GGCGGACCCGGGGCCGAGGTTGGGGCGGCAAAGCGCCGGCCGCTGAGCCCGGTTTAACCTCCTCAGGCTGAAACCGAGCCCCAGCTGCCGCGACCGCCTAAACCGCAGTGCCGCCGGGTGCCCGTCAGCAGTGACTGCCTCGGCTACCCGTCACCGACATCGCCGGGGTACGGAGGGGAGAAATGAGATAAATGGGGAGGTGAAGCGATGCAGCTGGAGTTAAAGAGGAAGCCTGGGGAAGAACCGGCAGCAGGACCCGGGTTTCCTCCTTCCCACCTCCGTGCCTGAACGACAAGGAGCGACCCGGAGAAACACGCGCGTCTTCGAAGCCATCGCGCTCGTACGCAGGCACGGCCCCGGTGAAGGGCCGAAGCACGACGGAGCCAACGCTTCTGGCCCTCGCTACAGACACAAACTGTGGTTGTTTTTTTTTTTAACTCCTCGGATGAAATTAGGCAGCCTGGTTTCTTCGTTAAAGATGAATGTGGGTCATGAATGCTGTAGTCTAAATTAGATTATTTTTAAATTGTTTAATCATTAAATTGGTACTAGGAAGGATACTGTTCTTTAAACATTAATCTTCCTGTGACTATGTGGCTGACTTCCCAAGTTAAGAAAACTAACACATCATTGCCACACTTTACTACGTCTCGCTAACGCTTCGGTTGAGATTCCAAACAAAGAACAAGCAAGCACTTGCCAGCAATTCAGCAAAGGCTTTGGCTTTCTAAGGGCTTTGCAAGATGTAGGTTTGCAGCCTGAAGTGACCTGCAGTCCACCCCCGGGGTCAGTAACGGGAAGGGCTGTCAGCACGCGATGAAATGCAGCCACTTACGGCTCAATAACAATTCGTGGGGTTGTTCTCGGGTACGTTAGGCTGCTTGCACACGGTTTTTGGTGTCCGTTCACAGCATTAGCAGAAGGTATCTTTAAAGCTCCAGGATTTATCCTTATTTTGGATGAGCTAGAAATCTCTGGATAATTTGTTTAGAGTCTCCGTGAAAACATATAATGAGCCATAAGCAATCACGGCTCTTACGCAAGATGTGCAATACAATCATAGTTAAAGAGCAGTATATTTGCTTGCTGCATAAATACCTTCTCATTTGTGGCGAAGTATATTATCATTTTAGGTACGATTGTCTTCAATTCCCCAACAGTTAACAGCCGATACACAGCGGCGTTCCCTTGCGAACCTACTGAGCCCAGCCTACAGACGCTTAAGGCGACGGAGCGCTGGTTCCCCATTCGAGGAGCTCCTCAGCCGAGGTGAAACACGGCACAGCGAGGAAATGAGAGCCTCTTCCAGAGCGGTGGCTTTGGTGACGGTGCGTGGGGACACGAGCGGAGGGGAGCAGGGATGGGGAGCCGCGGGGCTGCGGCAGGGACGCTCGCACAACTCGCGTGGCTTTTGCCTTATCCTTCTGGCCAGGACTTAACCACGTCGTAAACAGAAGACTCTTTACCCACGTCTGTTAAAGAAACTTTGTTTTATTCACACAAGGCAATGCACACGTGTTGCAGACAGGAGGCCAAATGGATATCCCAATAAAACAGATCCCCTCTTCTTCATACTGCAAACTCTTTCAGATAATTTTCTGTAAGAACTGCGATACAGCTATGAACCAGTACACCTTCACCTGAAACCCCAGACAAAACAGAAGGAGAACCTGGGTCTGAATTCGGAGTTCAGGCCACGCCACGCACTGGTGCCAGATCGCTCGCTGCCCGACCGAAGCGGTCACGGTGCCGGCAAAGGGAGCGCGCGGGGGAAGCTCAGGCGGCCTCACGACCCGCCCCAGCCGTATTCCCTTTCCTTCATTTCTCATTTTCACCAATTCAAAACAGTTTGAGTCGGCTTCGTGTAAAATTTAACTGGTAAGAGCCATAAATTCTGAAAAGTTATTCATTTATTCAACAGATCCATCACAGTGTTCAATGTAAGCAAGAGTAGTGCCTATTATTTCTTAGAAAAGATGCATAGATAAAAAGAAAAAACCAAATCTTCCTGTCAGAAAATAGCTCCTGTAAGAGAGTGCAGCTGCAGCCATGTCCCGCTCAGCTCTCCTTTCTGAGGGACAGCCTTCACAATTACCACACTGTTCCACAAGTCCATGAACATCTATGAACAAAACCTAAAGTAAAACGAACGCAGAACATTATTTTTAAGGTTTACTTGTTACGGAAACGATCTGATTTTTTTTTAATATTGCAATTTCTGTACCAAATTAAATGGACAGTACATTTGTCACACCAAGGCTGGATCAAAGACCACAACTTCTCCAACACCTCTCTGCACGGTGATATTACAGACAAATTCAACTGTTGCTTTCAGCTGACTATAACTTAGACGTAATAGGTTGCCAACTCATACGAGAAGAAGATGTATCTAGTATTGGTATTTTCAACACCCATGAAACAAATATATTACAATAAAATTCTCATTATAAAGTTGCACAAATTTCTATGTTAACCATTAAGAGTTTATATGAAAAAGCAGAAGTTATCTACCATTGATTCCTGATACAAAACAGTAGGTAGAAACCTAATGTAGAAATCTGAAGTTAGATAAATCCTTTGGCAGCATGTTCAGTTACAATCACGCCTTAAAAATAAATATGATAATGTATAGAAGTATGAAGAGAAAAAACAGATCCTATTAACACCAAAACCCTCTAAATACACTATTTTAACAATAATTAAATTATTTTACACTATCTACAAGTTGCATATCACAGAATTAGGAATATAAGAGATGCCAGAATGACAAATCCTGCTTTTATAAAATTTCAGGCTTTAACAGTATGCATATATGTAGCTGTGTAGAAAGTCTCAGACAAATGAGTATATACATTATTTATATTTAATAATTAACTGAACATAATCAAATCACATCTGCCTAGCCATCTCAATTTAAGATACTCAGTATTTCTGCTGGACCAAAGTTTTGAATCCAAGAAAAATATCTACCTTAATCTCAATCTGCTAACAAACATGGAGAATCTCTATGAATGATAGCAAGGTTTAGTCTGCCTACATACCCGCTTGGAACAAAGTAAACTCTTACCAAAAAATCTCCAAACAATAAGAATTTTGAACAGCAGCACTGAAATGAATTATTCTTCTTAAAGAACGCAAGGAACAAGTTATCAAAATACTTCGGTATTGCAACGTGTGTTATTTCTACTAAATTACTTCAAGGGGAAGGATGAAGACAAATTAAAGTCATGTCAAAAGGAAAGCCAAAAGCTTCCTTCTGATTGCACAAATTTAAATTTAAAAAAATGATTTGAAGAGCAGGTACTGAATACCTTCTTGCATAAGCATGAGGCTGCAAATGAACAAGGTCATGATACTAAAGAATTAAATAAAGTGTAAAAGAAATGGAGGTGGCGCTGAGTGAAGGGTCGTTTTTATTACTCAACAACAGTCTACAATCTGATAGTTCTCATTCGGTAGAAAATTTATACACCAAACATACTTGTTTTGACATTTGGGAATTCCATGCGTTTAATCAAGATGTTTTTATCAGTGATTTGCTTCCATTATTTTCCCAATCTAGAGATTATTATTCATCATAAAATTGTTAAAATAGGTATAAATATGACTGTGCTAAAGTGAGTAGGTAAATAGGAGGAGAATGAAGCGATTTTTTTTCAGAGGTTGAAACAATAAAAGAAAGAGATCCCACATTCCTGAAAGATAATTCAGCTCATCTGCTCCTCTCGTACAAACCCCACCCATTAAAAAAGTGCATCAGAGAAGAAATTCTTCGATTTCTTTTCTTAGCCACCAAATGCTACGCTTCCACAGTTCCAAGGCAATTCCTTTCCTAAAGACACGTCTGTCGTTTTCAATATGCAGCCGCTCCTTGCATTAAATGAGGAGCACAGTTCCACTCGCAAAGCACGTGTCTTCTGCCTGTACGGATAGTGCATTAAATACGCCTTTTTCAAACAGTTTGAGAGTTTCTCTGACTGTATTTGGTGTTTATTTAGACATGGAAACGGTGGCAGAGAAAGGAAATCCAAGCGAGGCAAGAGCCCCCTGGTCCCATAAAGACGATTCCTGTTCCACTCGGCTCCCCACTGGAAAGGGAACAAGGCAGATTCTCACAGTCTTAAGCGTCAAACATTCTTGAGCCCCTCCTTTACCACAAGGAACTACAATACTCCTTCACTTCTAAATACATCCAAAAAGGAAAAGAAAAGAGATTCTGTACAAGTTTCTGGTTCAGCACCTTGCATCCACAGAGTGCCCACACAATCAGCCGGGAGCAGCCCTTCCCTGCTCTTGCAAAGGAGCCCTGTGCTTGCAGTACCACCTCTGCCAAATGACAAGCGACTTCTAGCAAAACCCCACCTGTTTTCTTCAAGAGAAACACATCAGAAGTCCTCTGTAGTTTCCCAAAATCTAATAGGCAGCACTGTAAAAATCTCCTTTCTCATGTTTCTGTAGGTACATGGTCCTCACTGTCACAATATCAAATCATTTTCTCTTTCAGCTCTCATCTGCTGGACTCGTGCAGTTGTTCCAATTACGCAGCGCACGTCATATTGTAAAGCTCGCTACAGCAGCGCGGAGAGGTGGTCTCTAGATCTGCAGAGATTCTCTAAAGCCACTTGGATAGAAAGATTATAGTAAGACACCGGAGGAGGCAATGCATAACGAGAGCAACGCATAACAATGATTAAGCATCCTCAAGTTTTCATAAACACATTTAAAAGAAAATTACTTTTGGACAATCTTTTAACTTAAGGTTCACAAGTGGCGTTTCTTGAAACCACTGAAATAAGGGCTCAAAGTAATCTGAAATGATTTTAAACCATCAGCTAATCTAGTTCAAGCTATCTTTATGCAAATGCTTAACAATCAGATCTGATGCATATTTTTACTCTGCATCACCCTAATGCAGTAAGTTGGGTTATTTAGAAAGGAAAATGTAGTTTGATATCTGTGACAGGTATTCGTAAAAATCATTAGGTCAGGCAACCTTTATTCGGTAATTCAGAAACACGAGCTGGTTTGTTTTTAAAGGAGAGGCTGTTGATGGTAATTTGTTTGTTGCTGTAGAACGGAATGAGCAGGAACTGCCACGGGATAACCTGGTCCTTGAGGCAAACTCGACGCGTTATTCTGGTAAGCCGACATATCCACTGACATTCCCATCTGCTGCTGGGTGTAGGCAGCTGTGCTGGCAGCTGACGGAAGGCCAGGGTTCTGGTTCACGTACGCCTGGTTTAACACAGAATCCGGTCCTGGGCTGTAACAAACCAAAACAAATCCAACTCTGACAAGTTCGCGTCTATTTATCTGACAAGCAGATTTTGCAAATAGGAATATTGCTTAGTCCAAAAGCTGTCTGTGTATTTTCAAAATGATCAAAACCAGTATTACGTGTCATTGTAAACATCCTAAGAACACGCAACCTCTAGGCAAAGTAGTGAAATCACCATCAGGAAGAAGGCGATTTAACAGTTTGCTGAAGCGATACCTTAAATACGCAGCTTGAGCTGGCTGAGTTGCTCCAGAAGAATTTACACTTTGAGACAGGGACCTCAACTGCCCCATCTGATCCGGTCCTAGGCTATAACCTGGGGAAATGGTGACTTGATGAACACCCTGGATCATGTAGTTCCCACTAGGTGGCTGTACAGGATATGACTGTAAATAATAAAAAAAAAAAAAAAAAAACATTGTATACCTTTTCTTTTCAGTTAAGTAGCAGCAAATGTGGCACAGAATACCACTACAATGACCAAATACGGTAGGGTTCAAAGGCTGAATGAACATCAATTAATTTTTCCAACAAGGTTCTAAAACCAAAACATGTAACTTCTCGTAACACGTTTTAGACAGGCAACCGTTATTTCATCAGAAGCTACCTTTTGCAGAAAGGCACCGCTAACAAGGTCAACGCTTCATACCTGAAAGAAGAACCTTCTGTACCACGTACAAGACCTCTGCCCCTCCCAGAAACCCTATTTCTTTCTCTCCGGTTTGCCTTGTCTTTAAAATGTTCAATCCTTACATACTTTGATGCACAGAGTTGAGTAGGAAGATGGGCACCATATGAGATTTGTTATTTAACACACTTTGGAAATTAAAACATGGGACTATTCCAAGACTGTAACACAAAAGGAAAGCAAAAACTTCAGTTTCTTGTATTTCTGGTTTAAGATAATGCAAGTCTTTACTCAAAATTCAGCTAGAACAGGTGGTATAACATGCTTAGTCTACAGAAGTCTATGCTGCTCGCTGGTTTTGCACTAAGCTCAGCATGGTTAGCATTATCTCGTATTTTTTTCACCGCTGGAAGCTGGAAGAATGCATCTTGGAAGAAACAGTAAACTCCAGTTGCCTTTTGGCTGAAATTACTTTTTAACCTCCAAATATAATGAATTTTCCATCGCTACCAGCGGTTAAGGACATAGAATTACTTTTAACTGACATATTTTCAGATCTAGCAGTTGCTATGGCAACTATTCTTTTCCCACTGAACAATTAACATTAAAGTAAAATTCACTTGAAGTAAAAACACTCGTTCTACGCTTTCTCCAAAAAGGATCTTTAAAATATCTCTTTCTCCTCCATTTTTGTTTTCTTAAAACTTCAATATGGCACATTAGAGATATTGTAAACCAGTTTGGAGCAACTACACCCCCTAATACAACACGTTCATTCCTTAAGGAACAAAAAGAGAGCTAAAACCAGCCTAGTGTTTCTATATTTGGAAAAAGTACACTGCGCTCATGATTAATGCACTAATATTAAAGTTCACTCACAGCCCGGCTATTAGATAAGAAGCTAACATTTTACTTTAAGACTGAGGACATGACTCACAGCAAGAACATCCACCAAGCTGCTGAAACAGACAATTCTAACTGTAAAAAAATAATCATGGAAGGAATCTTTTAGTATTTTCCATACAGTATCTTTCTGTTAAGTAGACCAAAATTAACAGCTATACCTTATTGTACAAGCAGGTAACTGCAAATTGAAGTCCTCTGTTCTACTGCATAAATGGTATTTTATTCTAAAGGCTATAAAAAGTCACCAGGCAACGTCAGATTGTTCGTAGGCTAGCAAGAAAGCGTACATTTCATTTTTGCTGTCATCTTTTTAAATAGAAATCTATATTAGGAAAGTCGCTATTTCCAGAAAGGAGTACTGACCTGCACTGAAACACCAGAAGATGTAGGTGGGTATTGTGCAGGATGGTGGAGTTTTGAGTAGGCTGAATACATCGGTGTTTCATTCATCAGTTTGTTATAGAGCTCCAGAGCTTCTAGAACTTTCACATTCAATTCAGATAATTCCGAATGTTTTCTGTTTCAAAGCAAATACATGCAAACGCTTAGGTTTCTCTAACATCTAGTCTTAGACTAGAAAAGAAAAAAAACCTTAAAAGGTAGATGGTTGATTTCTTACACATCTATACTGTAAAATTGCCATTCTGTTTCTTATTCCAATGGGACTGAGGGAGAGTCCAAGTGGTGAACAACTATTCCTCCCCAGCTGCAATAAGGCAAGCAGCTCTACAGATGTTAGATTTTTCTTTTCACCCTCAAATATCCCTAGGAGTCTGAGGGGGAAGAGGTGAAGACAGCGTTGACTAGGTTTTCCTGTCATGGAGGACAGTCAGCAGCAGACTGAAAATACCAAGCTCTAGACAGATTGCAAAAGGCTACAGTCAAAAAGTGCGAATATAAAATGCACCCAGCAGCTTAGGCAGTAAGTTCTGGAGAGCAGCAATCAAATCTTAGTGCACACACTGGGACTTCGGTACCTAAGTGTTAAAAAATAAAGGCAGAATTGTCAAAATTTCTTTCTTGCAAGATTTTCTAGCTTGGGAGATGAAGGAGAAAGTACCAAAAAAAATTAATACAACTGTACAATTTAAAGTAAATCATAGTAAGTAACACAGGAGCTACGTTATGCCTCACCTATCTATCTCTTCTAGTTTTTCATCTATCATTGGACCCATCTGTTGACAAATATCTGTGAAGACAAAAGTGTCAAGGTAGTTAACGTCTTACACAAGTAGAAGTTTAAATGCACCCAAAAAATACTTTATCCGAGTACACTAAAATAGCATAGGAAATTGGAGAGTGCACCTAGTTATCACGTGTCTCCCATTCCTCCAGCCCGAACAGACAGGAAAACCACTTTGGTTATTCTGCTTTGTCACCCTCTCTCCTCTTTCCATGAAAAACATGGGAAATTTTGCATTTCTGCTTGCGCTGTGCAAGACCTATGGCTTTCACCTCCTACTGGAACAGCTAACCTAGGCTGCCTATGAACCTGTCTAGGTCTGCTGTACTGCAGAGCTTCCTTTACCTTCACTTTTCCCACTCTGGGAACACTCCTTTTTTAATGTACGCTCAATTGTCGTCACACACCTTGAACTAACTGGCTCTGAAGTGAACTGAACTTCCTCTCCCCTCCTAGCCAGCAGCTGTTTTGGAGAAATTTGGACACCAAATTAATTGCTTATTTCAAGCAGAGTTTTGATGGGTGGATGGACCTTGCAAACATCAGGCATTGTACACTAGCTGGAAGTTATGCAAATTACTCTGCTAAACATGGAGTTGGCTTGGCAACTGTTAGAAAATTTAGAGTTATACGTATAGCCCCATGCTTCCACTGTGAAATAAGCTATTCTACAGCACACTATTTGTACAGACCACCGTTTCTCTAAGCTTAAAATAAATGCAAAACAATTACCAGCTCAATCCACAACAGGTAATTGTGAGAAGAAATGCAAAAACTAGCTAACTTAGTGCTCAAAGTACCTTCTGAGTCTAGAAGATCTGGAGAATCGAGCTTCAAATCTGTAGGATCTATACTCTGAAGTACCTGCAGTGTTTTATCCATCTTATCCTGAAAGGTGAAGAGAAGATTAAGAACAGTTATTTCTGAAGCATGGCAGAGACTGTTTTAAATTTTCGAATAAAAAAAGTTGTTTATATAAAAAGAATTATCCGCTAACATTCAGTAACAAAAGAATGTTTCAACTAATGCAAAATCTCAGCAATTTTTTAATGTTGAAAGTGACCGCATACCTCATCTATATAAACTGGCTCAGGTTCTGCTTTCTTAATTTCTTCTGTAGTATCCTCAGGAACAGAATTTTTATCCACAGTTGCTGAAAGAACAAACGTTAGTTTCTTTTTTGCAGCTGCGTTACTGTGCTAACTTAAAATACATATTTTTCTCCTTGCTTGCCACCAGATCTTTAAATGAGAGAGAAATTTGAATAAGTACTTTAAGCAGTGACGCACCTAGCTGCTGGAGAAGGGAAACTGGGTTTGCCTAGAAAACATTCTGACCAGCTGCTTCCTTTGGGCTGTTAGCCCGATTATGAACCTAGGCCCAGCAAGGGAAAGACTCTTGAGTCATATTAGCATCTAAAAACACCTCCAACGCATACACAGTTACTTTCAGCCAAGTCGTAAGTGTTAAGATTTATTTTGGTATCATGAGCATGAATAAAGCCAACAATGTGATTCTTACAAACCACTGACATGGGTATGAATGTTATTCTATACTAGGTCTGATCTCTGAAAAGAGACTTTGACATTTTAAATGGCAAGTTACCGGATTCCTATGTAGTATGTTACTGACAAAGAATTATGGTAGCCTGAACTGAATTTCTGTAATAGCAAAAAGGTAACAACTTAGAAGCAGAAGACAGAAATCGTTGAAGGGAGCTACAGCAGTGGTATAACGCTTACTCGCTTGTTTGAAACAAGGGCAGGATTTCCCTCTCAATTCTTTCCTTGGGCCGATTTCAGGAAATTATTTTGCTGATGGGCTGATTAGTAGTTTCACCATAAGCCCACCTTTCTAAAATAATCTGTCAGCTTTTAGCAGCTAACTTACCTGCCTCAGGTTCCACATTTAAGTCAGAAGTCACAAAATTAGATGGAAACAGTCCTACTCCTCTATGATTTTCACCTTTCCACCAATTGGTGTCACTGGGGAAATAAAGATGTGTTACAAAACTCTGAACATTAACGCTAGTGTCAGCGACGTATTCTGGACTTCTGACAGAAAACCTGTGGTACCTAATACACTGTTTCCCTGTGTATCCGATAACAAAGGCAAAGGAGAACATTTATAGAGACCAGCAGGAAAGCCAAAGACAGGAGCTGGGGCAGACGGGTGGGGAGGAGGAGGGACTGGGGGAAGTAAAATCATTCAGTAGCGATTACTCAAACTTTAACACAGCTCTTCAATTCTTTAGGTTGATTAGATGATAGCCCATTATAGCTTCATCTAAAAGTTTACAAGAAGTACACAAGTGGGGACTGACATTAGAAACATAATTGATCTGTCACAGTCTATTAAATTACAACAGCATTAGCAGGAAAGAAGTTCTGCTTCTTAGCTATCATCGGGGCAACGGTGATAACAACAATAATTATCTTAAGTATTTTTTTCTTCAGTTTTATTCTTGGCAAATGTGATGCTTGATAGCCAGAGATTTAGCAATTTCTAGAAGCAGCTGGAATTTAGCACTGTAATGCATATGTATATTCTTATGACATACGCTATACCCAACGAACATTGATCTTAAAAACTACAAATTGGACCTACACCACAGCATGAAATACCCAACGTAATACAGTGAGGTTCTCCCTGCACCAGAAATGACTTGAGGTCAAAAACTTGGGGTATGGAAAGAATAGTGGAAGACAAAGGGATTTGAGGGAGGCCAGAGTGACAATATACATTTCTGTGGGGAAAACAGCATCAGAGGAAAAAATTGCTATCCTAAGAAAACAACAGTTCTGGAATAAAGGCACCTCCACTGGATGTATTATACCTGTCATCCAAAACAAAAATAATTTCTCCACTTTTAAAGGTGAGTTCATTGTCCTCGACGGCTTCGAAGTCATACAGAGCTCGCACCTTCCTTGAGTTCTGATTGTTTTGCTGAATTTCTGCAGATGGGTACAAGGATTTAGTTTCCATTTGTTGCTGTTTCTGCTCTTGCAAAGACAATTCGATAGCTACGATCAGGGGAGGAGGGGAAAAAAAAAAGTTGTATATTTTATCCCTGTATACAAAGGCAGTTTGCTTTCCCAATTAAAAAAGAAAAATATTTATTGCTATATTATAAACATGGTCTGTATCTGCTTCTCTAGTATTTTAAGTTTAAAATCTTTGCTACAAACTACTAGCCGTATTTCACATTTCAACAGCTTTACTCTGCCCCGCAACAGGATTGAAAGACAAGACGTAACGATGCGCAAGTTATGAACCATTTAAGAAACACTCTGCTTTTCATGGTACAGGCCACTACTTGAAGCAGCGCACACACTACCGATGTCAGCAGCAGCATCAGCATGACCAAAAAAAATACTTATAAATTCCTCACTATGACATCTGAGCAACGGTAACTATATCCAAGAAAGATGAGAAATAAAACATTTAATTGGTTTGATTTTTTATTTAAAGCATCAAGATGAAAGCTAAAATAAAACACGTGGGTGCAGGAGGGAAAAGCCCAGGCGCTCTGGAGAGAAAGGAGGCACAAAACAATGCTAAAGCCTATGTGATGGGGAAGAACCTGTCTTACCCCGGATCCTCATCCATGAGGAAGACACCTTCATACCATTTTGAATGATACAGTATATTAGTTCCCAACCTGCTGTGCCCTTTTCCCGTGTTTTCAACCCTATGCAGCAGAAGAGAGCACAACTTCCTATTTCCGTGCATTTTAACAACACTTCTAGAGCACAAGTCTAACCCCAGCAAGTTACCTTTAGCTATATCTTCATCTTCTTTGGTTTTACTTAATGATGAGCCATTCTTTGCAGCATTTGTGGTAGCCTGCATATGTATTAACAACAGAATAAGTTCAGGTTACAAACAAAAAAGAAAGCTCTCCGATTCTATACTTTAAAAAAATTAGTAATAAGCTGTTCCTGGTTAGCTGCCCTACTGTAGCATTTCATTACTGAACCAAGATGACCTTCCAGAAGAAAAAATTACCACTCTTCAGAATCTCGGCCAGGGTTTACTTTGTTTTCAGCAAGGAACAAAGTACAATAAATAATCAGATTCAATTTAAATAACTGATCTCATTTAAATAATGATTTTAGTCTCATTTATTAAAGTGAGACTACTCATTTAAATGACTATTCTTTCCACCTTCGCCCTCCACTCTTCCACCCCTCCCTTCAAAAGGGACGAAAAAGCTCTTTGGAGTCCTACGTCTGCAAAGACCCAAGTTATTAAGCAGCATGAAACGGGAGATCGCTCTCCGCATCCCAGCAAAAAGCGACCCTCTATCTCTGCTGGTGGGACAACGGGAAGGAAGAGCAAAGGTACATCAAGTTGGGAGCGGCAGACTTAAACAACAGGAGTCTCCACAACAGCAGAGTGAAATCATTCTTGGCGTTTTCATTCTGACAAGGAAGCCTTCCCGCACATACCAGGAATGAAGAATCTAGTTTCAGACACTAGCCACGTCTAGGACTTATCGATGGTCCTAGAAAACAATTCTGTACAAGCGTACCAAATAATAATAAACCTCAGCTTTGCTTGTTTGAAGTGAAATGTGTGAGGTAAAAACATCAAGATGTCATTTTATATGTATTTGTAGGAAAGGAAGCATAATTGCTTGCCAGTACTGTATATCTTCCATGTTTCTGCCATATGTTTTAACACATATCCTAGATTTAGAAGTGAAAACATCTTTGTGGAGGAAGGAAAGATTGTAAAAGTAAAAAACCCCTCTGGGTTTAACACAGAGAAAAGTAAACTTCATGTAAGGAATACGTGATAGAAGCTGCAGGTCAGGACTGATCTTCACCTGACTCATAACTAACATGGAAATATTTAGAAGCATCAATAATAAAGCACAGAAAAAAACCACCCGTCATCACATGTGCCAGCTAGAAGATTAGGCATAATACACCACCAGAAGTAAAATACTAAGGGTGAGGTTCGGGATTGGAGCACCCCATGTACTGCAGAGCCAGGGCAATTCCTGCATGAGCAAGAAATGGGGGCTTGGAAAAGGAAAGCATAGCACAGGTCATCTTCAAAAATGCCTCAATTCCAGATATTGCCCTTTGTTTTGTGCGGCTCTGAAGAGAAGTGAAGGTATGTGCTCCAAGTCAGCAAGTAGAACCATGAAACACGAAGTACAAAGTGTGGGTGTTGAATTGCTTCGATTTAAGGTGGTGACAGCTCAATGAAGCTCTAAAAATGATCGGAA